TTTTGTTTGTTTGACTCAATTGTGCTTGTATGCCTATCGATCTATAAACATTGTGTCAATTGTGGGGGGTTAGATTTTGGCTGGGAATGATCAGACTGTTTAATGTTATTGTGAGCAAATGTGGAATTTTTTTATTTATCATGAAAATAAACTCTACAATGGAAGCCCAGAGCGGTCGTGTCACTCAGATACTGTGGTTTTCTCGAGAAAACAAGTTAATTTTCTCACTATATAAAGATAACGAAAGCCGTTTTTGTCGTGATAATGAGATGATTGTTTTTGTGTTAGAACTGATTACATCCTTCAATACCACAGCAGCTGGAGAGGATTTATAAGTAGAAGTCATAGAAAGTAGAAGACCATCCTGATCTCGCGAGCTTTCAAGGTTTCACTCGCAGATCAGTCTGGAGACTCTCCGTTGAAGAAAATTTGGAGCCGTTCACCAAACGAACGTCCAATCAGCGTTGGCTTTGAGGCGGGTTGAGGTGTGACGCAACGAGAAGCGCAACAGTTCAGTCTAAAGAACGTGGCGGCTTCAGCCGATGAAACTAGCGTTAGCGTGGCTATCGAGCAAGTTTTATCGGAATTACAGAGTATTTCTTCACTGAAAGAAGAGCGAAACACTGCTCTGGAGGCTTTTCTCAGAGGAAAAGATGTTTTTGCTCTTCTCCCGACTGGTTTCGGCAAGAGTCGCCTGGCTTGTGGTTGTGTTTTTGTCATCGCTCTGTTAGTACGTCATATGCTTTCTTTGATTTGATTGTTTTTTTTGGCCCATCTATCACCAACATAGGCCAATCAGCTAACCAGTATTTTCGCCCCTTCCCAAAATTACTTCAACGGAAGGTTTCCAGATGGATATGCGGAGCAAAGTCAGGTTAATGACAGCCTATGTGTGATTCTGTAAATAATCCCGTGTTTAATCTTTAGGTAACGAGACGACGTTGTTGGTTTGATGATTTGCTTCCACTTCTGATTCATAAACAATTAGACCTATGTCTCCTGGTGTTTTCTGAGCAGCCCCGGTGTTACGCCTGTAACAGCTATAAGATGCATTAACCCCCAAAATGAGTCCAGATTAAAGATTTTAATTAAAAAACAGATTAGTTTCTACTGTATTCCATGCAATCCAATCATCCAGCACCACCTGACAATGAGTGAAAAGAAAAAGGAAACTAAAAAAGTGATTTTTTTTTGCGTACACGCTGTACTGCGGCTGCACAGGCATGGATGGACTGGGAATCCAGTTATGTTGGCCAACCTAATTCATTACTCATACAGGTTAGTCATGTCGCTATCTCAAAAATCAATAACTATTTTCTAGTGGTAACGAGATAATTATGTTATTATCTTGAGAAGGGAAAGGAAAAAGAAAAAAAGTTGAGTACGACCGCTCTCGGCTTCCATACTCCACAATGTTTGCAGAAGCTTTTCAAAAACCAAAGGTTTTAACAGCAACGATAAATATAAATATCTTTAAAAACCGAGGTTATGCAGTAATATAGTTGTTTTGTGCCGTTTAGCAGAACAGTTGCTTTAATGATGTAACTTGAGTCCAGCATTTATCAATTGGTTAAGATCATTTTAAAGGAGAAGTCCGCTCATATTCAGAATTAAAACTTCTGAAAGTACTTTCACTATGAAATTATTACATACTGTTCAATAAATGATAAGTTTATATTTAATTAAGAGTAATTTTCATTTGAACGTGCTTTACTGGAGACATCCAGGTTTGTGACGTCACGGTGCGGTATCGGCTGTTGATCAAGTGCCAGTGCTGTATCTGGTGTTTGTCACAACGCGCTATTATCCAAGTCATCTTGAAAACATTCTTCTTCCAAATGTTGGCTACATATTACGTGTTTTTTCTCTGGCCAGAAGTTTGATGGCAAATCCTCCCTCTTCAAGTTGGCGATCCAACGACCAACCCGTCCGTGGAGGATCAGGAATCAGAAAGGTGAAATAACTAACTTTTTTTTCACTTTTACCCGATGTATTCCAGCATCCAGCTGCCATGCACGTGGGCATTGTCAGTTTCACTATAGCTCTGGTGAATTTCAATGGTGAAGTCCTCTGGAAATCTTCAATAATTGTTGTTGATTGCAGATGTGTCTAGTAGTTCCCATTGATTTAGCTTGTAAAGCGGGGAGAATGGCGCTAGGCTTACCGCACCGTGACGTCACTGCTGGAAGATGGCAGGAGGGAGGGGCTACTATATTTGGGGAAAAATGGCCGCTCCCAGACTGAGTGATTGCGACGAAAACTATTTAACTATTTAGAGCTAAAATCGTTAAATGACTGCGAACGTATTAGTTTTAGGTATAAATAATGATCCATGGATCATTCCTTGCTGAGCGGACTTTTCCTTTAAACTGCTGTATTAGTGTTTTGGGGGCTATGGTTGCAGAGTTGTGCAGTTCAGGCTTTACCACGGATTTTTTATCCAATTTTATCATCACTTTTATCATTATTGTAATAATTACCATAAAGTCATGTCAGCTACAGACTGATCGCTTCTATGCTTTATAATGCAGTAGCACACATGAACAGAGCCCCGACACAGTATTACGTACAGCTGCCCCACTGTATGCCATAATCAAAATGTATTCAAATATAAACTTGAAATGTAATACTCTGTGTTATGTATGAATCTATATAGTTTTACCTTTTTTGCTACACTCCTGAAACCAACTTTTGTGTTGAATTCTAACTGAAACCCCCGGTAGCTAATCTAATTACCCACTTCATTCACCTGCCGTACCCTCCCCGTTCTCTAATTATTATTAATCCTATTCACCTGCTCCCTATGTTATATATATGGTTCAGCCTAGCTATCGGGGCCAGATCACTATTCGGTTGTATTTGTAGTGCATTCATGCATTCTTATAACCTGACTCCGCCAAATGGATTTACTCCGCATATCCATCTGGAAACCTTCCGTTGAAGTAATTTTGGGAAGGGGTGAAAATACTGGTTAGCTGATTGGCCTATGTTGGTGATAGACGGGCCAAATAAACCAATCAGATCAACGAAGCATATGACGTACTAAGAGAGCGACGACGAAGAGGAGCCAATTGATAGATCAAACTCTTGCCGAAACCAGTCGGGAGAAGAGCAAAAACATCTTTTCCTCTGAGAAAAGCCTCCAGAGCAGTGTTTTGCTCTTCTTTCAGTGAAGAAATACTCTGTAATTCCGAGAAAACTTGCTCGATAGCCACGCTAACGCTAGTTTAATCGGCTGAAGCCGCCATATTTTTTAGACTGAACTGTCGCGCTTCTCGTTGCGTCACACCTCAACCCGCCTCAAAGCCAACGCTGATTGGACGTTCGTTTGGTGAACGGCTCCAAATTTTCTTTAACGGAGAGTCTCCAGACTGATCTGCGAGTGAAACCTTGAAAGCTCGCGAGATCAGGATGGTCTCACGAGGCTAGCATTCTTAGTTTATTCTTATGAATTTAGTGTAGTGATTTATGTTTGTTTCATGAGAGTTAAGTAGCAGAGGGAGCAGGTGGATAGAAGTAATGATAATTAGAGAACGGGGAGGGAACGGCAGGTGAATAAAGTTGGTAATTAGATCAGCTACCCGGGCTGCGATCATGACAAATATATTACCTGCTGACTCACTTCACAGTACCTTTGCACATAAAATAAAAAAATATTGCATACTATGCTCATGGCACACAAACCTCAACCTCGGGTTGATTTGTCTTTTGTCCTCCCCCGCAGACTGACATTGTTACATTCATTGCTCCGTTATTTTAATGCAGTCTGATCAGTGTGACCCATCTGGGTGTGCAATATTGCTGAGAAAGCTTTCTTTCTTGGAAGACTCGTCGATACCAAATCCTTTGCGCCGCAGTGATCTCTGAAACGAGCAAAGTGCACCGTCTGTTGCATCTCCATGACGGAGGACGAGGGGGTGACCCCGTCCTCACACGGCCTCCCTTTGCTCTCTGGAAAGTATGTTAACAGAGGGAAGCAACTTTTGGTTTCAGTCATAAACCAAATATAAAGTCGGGGATAATTAGAGTTGCAGCTAAGAAGGGAACCAATAAATTGTCTGAACAGTAAGGTTTGAAATAAATAATAATAACAAATCACAGAGAAAGGTTAGAATATAATATAGTATATATAAGAAGAGATTTTTTTTTTTTTTATCAGGTGTTAAATATACACCCAATAGTACTTTTGGGTTTTATTGACGTATTGAAAATGTTCTGTAGAAAAAATATGATTTTGTCTGTCATTCGCTCTGATTAAAAACTAAAAATTATCTCCCTTAAACACCCCCCATCTCCTCAGCGCTGAATTGAACATTAAAACATGCCAACATATATGGAAGCGAATCGCTACCATATTTAAAATGCAAAAGCATTTCCAGAAATGTTTTTTTATTTTAAGAATGTGGCTGAATTATTTGACTCATAAATGAAATTAGTAATCAATCATCCTATTTGCATTTGCTTCTTTAACACCGCTCAGCCTTTTACTTAATTAAACTGAAAAAGAAAAAGACGTTTGAGATTTATTTTTCAAAATGTACCCCAGCAAATACTTACCAAAATGCGATTTGAAACGCAAAATTTGAAAATGAAAAAGCATTTCCAGAAATGTTTTTTTTATTTTAAGAAAGTGGCTGCATTACTTGACTCATAAATGAAATTAGTAATCAATCATCCTGTTTGCATTTTCTTCTTTAAGACTGCACATTTTATGCCATAATCAAAGAGAAAACACAACAGACATTGCTTTCTCGTTTTCAAGCATTTCTGGAAATGCTTTTTTATTTTCTAATTTTACATTTCAAATTGAATTCTGGTATGTATTTGCTGGGGTACATTTTGAAAAATAAATCTCAAATGTCTTTTTCATTTTAATTAAGTGAAAGGATGAGCAGTGTTGAAAAAATGAAAATGCAAATAGGATGATTGATTACTTGATCTATGAGTCAAACAACGCAGCCACATTCTTAAAATGAAAAAGCATATCTGAAAATGCTTTTTCATTTGAAATATGGTAACGATTCGCTTCCATAAACATAGAGGAGTTCCTCTTTGCTAAGCAGGTGAAGGAGGGTGTTTCTGGCACTCACAAGTTGGAGGGAAGTTTGGACTGTTTCTGTTTACTGTCTGACTCTTGAGAGGGAGACTGATCAGCGGCCGACAGCTTCCGCGGCTCAGGCCCTGATGGCGTCCGACTGGCAGGAATGCCCTGACCTGGGATGGGGGTGTAGGGTTTATTGACAGCCAAGGGAGAATGGTGGCTCCTTGCTGCCCCATCTGAGGAGCCACTCATGACCGAAGGCCTTTCCTGGTGTAAATAGCTTTGAGAGCCTGAGATTGTCTTTATTTCCTGGGCGAAGAGATCCACAGGTGACTCTGTTCTCTCTTTCTGAGGGGAGCCCCCCCTGGATGGACGTGAGCTCTGAAGTGGCAGGGAGCTGTGAAAGCTGGAGGTGATGGGCAGCTCACTGTGGTGAACCGTCCGTGCCATCACAGGGCTCTGCGTGAGAGGGGGGGTGTAGCAAGGCGAGGCCTCTGCCGACCCGTACTGGGCCAGGGAGGCAAGGGCCGAGTGCTCGGTGAGAACCTGTGGGAGGAAAACTGACTGTAGCCCTGCCAGGGTGTGCTGCGCTAGAGAGGCGGCGGTCCCCGTTCCACCTGCTGATGATGGCGCACTTATTCCCATGGGGACTTGCCTGCTGGTTATGATGGGAAAACGTGGGAGGTTGATGTTGCTGGGAGTGCTGGTCTCTTTGTTGAGGCTGGAGGGGTGACAGGTCTGCTGCAGCTGGCTCAGAATGGGGTTGAGTGAGCTGCAGATCAGAGGACCGATGGTCGGGGCTGGAAATCTTCCCGCCAGCTTACTTGGTGCCCCCTGTTTAAGTAAACCTAAAGGCTGAGGTGGATTGGTCATAGCACCAAGAAAGGGCTGAGGGTGGAGCTGTGCAGAGCAGGTGTAGGAGACAGTGGCCTGATTGAAGGGGAAAACTGGGGTCATGCCGCAGTGAGGAGGCTGATACATAGGCTGAGGAGCGGGCAGTGGGGTCACTGGCTGCAGGCTGCTTGTGAAGATGGGCTGCGACATCATTGTGGGGGGAAAAACTCCAGTAGAGTGATGCTGGGGCAAAGAGAACCCCAACGAGGGAGTCTCAACCACAGATCTAGATGTAGCAGCGCAGACGGGGGAACTAGGAACTGAACCATAGCTACTTGAGGTGTTTCCTGCCATCTGCACTCTCCTTGAATGGCTCTGGCCCTTCATGGAGCCAGACCCAGGAACCAGAGGACTGTGGAACAGGAGTTGGGGGTGGTGGGCCAAGGCCAGAGCCAGGGGTGTGGTGGCAGCTGCAGCCTGCAACGGCGCCTGAAGCAGTGGGGTCCAGATGAGAGGCGTGGGTGATGGGGGTGCAGCAGGGGGGTTTAAACTGTGACCAGTGCTGCTTTGGATCAACTGTGTACAGTGGGCCATGTCGCGGTCATGCTGGACGATTCTTTGGATAATTTCTGTTTCATGAAGGTTTAATGTGCCGGAACTCTGGTGATGCTGGACTTTATGCTGTAAAATGGAGTTCCTCTTTCCTATAAAGACAGAGGAAGAAAAAAACATTAAAACATCTAACACAAGTCGGACTCCTTACTGGCTGAGAACAATGTGGTTGAAAATAAAAATAAATTCAATTATTCTCATTCAAATAAATTGTTAGAATAATTGTATATAAATTAGGGCTGCAACTAACGATTATTTTTAAAAACGATGAATCGGCCGATTATTTTTTCGATTAATCGATGAATCGGACAAAAAAATTTTTTTATATTAACCTCTTTATTCCAAAATAAACATTTTAGACAGAACAAACAAGCACACAAGTACAGGTTGCTCATTAACTGTACTGGTGCAATATGAAAAATAAATGTTTGTGTTAAAACTACGCAAACTTACATGAGAAATGTAGCTGTACATCCACAAAATATAGGCTACTTTGTTTCATAAAGCGCAAAAAGAGACATTTTTGTTTTTAAAGCCCCTAAGGGGTTCAAACAATAGGCCCCCCCATTTCAACAAATGAGTTTTTTTAGACTAGAAGAGTTCTGCCTTTTAAGACAGGAAAGTATAGCAGTTAAAGTTGCTGCTTGAGAAAATACTGAACCATAGAGATAAAAATAGCCCTGTGATTCAAATTATAAATTGTATTTGGAATAAAAATTAGAGAACTAGGGGTGCTAAAAAACACATCCTCCAAAGACAGATATTTACATGGGAATGTGGCAGATAATTAATTGACATATTACTGATCTTGCTGGATTTTATTCTGCTTTACGTCCATAAATTGCAGGATCTTCTTTACTTTATCTTTGCCAGAAGATTTAAACTTTAAAAGCCTTGCCCTCATAATTTGCAAGTTAATTTATTTATAAAGAAAATATAAACGCTGCTTAAGCTAATTCAAATGAAATTAAAAGTAAAATAAGTAGCCAACCTTATCCCTGTCTGTAACCTACTAACACGGTAAGGAAAGCATCAGATGAGCTACCTGAGAAACTAACGTTACGTTTCCCCTCTTTAAAATGAAACAAACATGGCCGCTCACCCTGCTGATCAGCTCTCTTCACTGCCATCGAAGGCTCCATCGTGTTTTCTTTTCAGGTGCTGCATCATAACAGTGGTGCTTCCGTGCCATGTTCATTTGTTTTTACAAAAGTTGCATGTTACGACTTTTTTCGCTTTACAAAGCGCAGGCTGTCTGCGAATTGAGACGCAGCTTGCGTTTGCGGTATCGGTTATTAGAACAGTTGACGTTTCTGCCTTTTGAAAACAGCCTTTGCTCACCTGCGGCGCTGGCTCGCTCTGCCGTATTTTTTTTCTTCCCCCGTTTCAATCGAGCGGCAGTGATGACGACGGCGGCGGATGACGCATTCATCGCGCGACACAACTAATAGATGATGAAATTCGTTGCCAACGCTTTTAAAAGTCGATTTTTATCGATTTTATCAATTTGTTGTTGCAGCCCTAATATAAATGTATCTGTGTAGTGTTATCATGCATAAAGCTGTGTGCTATATGCATGTGTTTGTAGCCATCTTTTCTGAAGTATACTGTGATTTGTAGATTTGCTTTTGGGGAGGTTGTGGTTGATTTACGTGCAGCACTCGACCTGCTGAACTTTGGTGAACAGCTTCAACAGCTTAAACTTTGACTGAACCCTGAAATTTATATGATGTTTACTGAGACTGCAACTCTGAATTTTTCATGTTGTTTCTCATCTCTGGAGCAGTCTCAGCTGTTGTAACAAGGGACCCCTGATTTCTAATAAATAGCGAGCAGAACGCTGGGACTGCAGAGTGGGGTGGAGATTGTAAACTCTGCAGTCTCTTCCTACTACCTTCCTCGCAACTAAAACTAAATTAATTGTCTCTGTGCCTTCTTTCTTTCCCTGTATGTATGTATGATGTTTTAGGTGCTTAGACCTGACATAAATATACTTTTAATCCCACAGAAAATAAATACGATATCAAATCTAAAATACAAGTTTTACTAAAAGCTGAGCTATCTCTATAGTTGCTGCTATAGGCTTATTATTCTGGAGGATCAGCAGATGGCTGACAGCCGACCTTCATGAGCCTGGTTCTGCTGGAGGTTTCTTCCTGTTAAAAGGGAGTTTTTCCTCTCCACTGTCGCTACAAGCATGCTTAGTGTGAGGGATTGCTGAAGAATCAATGAGTCGATGCAATCAACTGGTTTTCCTTAGATAGAAAACTTTGAGTCAATCTGACTGGATGACCTAGTGAACTGTAAAGTGCCTTGAGATGACATGTCTTGTTAATTGGCGCTATAGAAACAAACTGAATTAAATTGCAGGTTGTGGGTGTGTGTTGACCGGTCCAGTTTATTATCCAGCCACAACCTAAGGTATTTATATGAATCCTCCTCCTCCACCTCAGCCCCTTCCAGTAGTGCCGGTTTAGTCTTTGGTCCATTCCTCCCAAAGTCTATGAGCTGCTCATTCGTCTTGGAGATGTTGAGCTCCAGGTGGCAAAGTCCCCGACAATGGCTGTATCATCTGCGTACTTCTGTATGTCACAGCTCAGAGCTGTAACAGAAGTCCGAGGTATATAAGGTGAAGAGGACAGGGGCCAGCACTGTACCCTGGGGGACTCCAGTGCTGCTGACCACAGTTTCAGAGAAGGTGTCTTTTAGCCTAACATAGTGTGGCATGTCTGTGAGGTAGCTGGAGATCCATGCCACCAGGCACGTCTCCGCTCCCATGTTATTCAGTTTGTCCCTGAGCAGGTAGGGCTGGATAGTGTCTAATGCACCAGAGTAGTCCTACTCCTGCCGGAGTATTATCTTTAGGTAATACTAGACAGTTGCCTAGGGCCCCAAGTTCCTGGGGGCCCCATATAACTCTGTGTCTCAGCCCCCCCTTTCACCATATTGGATCAGTCCATTTGCTGCACATGTTCAGAAAGGTCCAAACAGACAGCAGCAAACCATTTGAAAACAAACCATGCAAAGAGCAGCGTTGCCAACTTAGCGCTTTAGTCGCTATATTTAGCCACTTTTCAGACCCCTCTAGCACTTTGATTTCTAAAAAGCTCCTAGCGCCAAACCTAGAGACTTTTTTCTGCTACTGGAGACTTTGGAGACAACATCTAAAAGCAGCGAACTCTGCTCTCCAGAGCCAGTAGATTGGTAACCCCGCCTCCTGCTCTCCTCTATCTTGTCTGCTGTCATGATTCATGCAGCTATTATTTCATCCAAATGAAAAATGGAGAACAGATAAGCAGATCATGGCTTGTCTACAGTGAAAAGAAGGACTGGGTTATTTACTTTGGCCTTTTTGGAAACACAGGAAGGAGCAATCAGCTAAGTGAGCTTAGTGCTTGGAAAAAATCTTTCATTCCTTTAGAGACAGCATGAAAAGTCAGCTGAGTACAAAACATAGAGAGGAAAACAAGAAGAAAAGGGACAAGAAGAGAGGGACACAACCTAGAACAGATAATGGATGTCTATTCTATTAACATTTCTCTATCTGGGTCTGTTTTATGTGTTTGTTTTCTCAATTCAGAGGGCCCCCTGCCTGTCTTTGCATAGGACCCTAATTTTCTGAATCCGCCCCTGGCTGCCTCGACTTGTTGTTCACCACTGACCAAAATAAATAGCTTTTTAAGATGATGACAAGTTAAATGTGACACTGTTACCATCAGTTATAAAATCAGGAAAATTAAGTCTAAAGAAGTTATCATCCAGAAATGTAGAAAAATGTTCCTTTAATAGGGTAGAGCAGTAAAGTTCTGTCCTTAACATTTGTCCCGCATTACGTTTACTTTTATACTTTAAGTAGTTCAATCTCTAACGTTCTGCTCTCTCTGCTTTTCCTCAGAGTAGCTTTGCCTCGTCCATTCCTGTTTGGCTGTGACTCCATCCTGGAAAGAAACATCAGCTCAACTGCTTCCATCAACACCCTTGTTTATAGATGCTGGAGATCGGCCTGTTTTCCAGTGTGGTCCTGTTTCTCTGACCGTGAATGGGTGGATGTGCTCTCTTCGTCCTCTGGCATGGGAGCTGGCTCGGAGCTCGTCTGCCTGGCTGTGTGTTTCCTGGACAGGGCCGCCTGTGGAGCTGGTTGACAGTTGCCTTTTGTATCTATGCTTCTTTTTCTATGTTTGCTTCTGTCTCCTTGAACCCCAGTGGGCCTCAGCAGATGGCCGCTCACACTGAGCCTGGTTCTGCTGGAGATTTCTTCCTGTTCAAAGGGAGTTTTTCCTCTCCACTGTCGCTACAAGCATGCTTAGTGTGAGGGATTGCTGAAGAGTCAATGAGTCGATGCAATCAGCTGGTTTTCATTAGATAGAAAACTTTGTATCAATTTGACTGGATGATCTGGTGAACTGGAAAGTGCCTTGAGATGACATGTGTTGTGAAATTGGTGCTATAGAAATAAACTGAATTGAATTGAATTGAAAAATGGTAGTTTTACACTTTTACTGGAGTAAAAATCTTAAGTTGATCCTCTAACTCAGGCATCCCCAAACTCGGTCCTTGAGGGCCGCTGTCCTGCAGGTTTTAGATGTTTCTCTGCTCCAGCACAGCTGATTTTAATTGATAGCAAAAGTAGGCTTTTGCTCTACTGCAATCATCATAATCAGCTGTGCTAAAGCAGGGAAACCTCTAAAACCTGCAGGACAGTGGCCCTAAAGGACAGAGTTTGGGGATGCCTGCTCTAACTCATACAAGCTGGTTTTTAAACAGCAGAATTTATATCTTCTACTGGAGTAATAAACATAAATACTTTTGACACCTCCTCTCATCTCATGTGATGGTGGAGATAAAAAGCTGTGCTCCCCTAAATCTGGCTTTATTTTCTGAGTAAATTAGATCTATCTGAGAATTCTGTTGTAACTCTGATATAAAGCCGGTGATGGACGGATCCTCACCGATACGGTCCAGGCGGTCAAGGGCAACTGCCTCAAAGGCCCTCCTCATCATGGGATACTCCTCCAGCACCTCATTGAAGTTGTCTACGGACAGAGAGTACAGCCGGCAGTAGTTATCTGCTCTCACGCTGGCGGTCCTTCTGCCTCGAGTCAACAAGCAGATCTCTACAAAGACAGAGGAAAGTAAAAGTTCATCAGTTGTTCTTTTAGCAGCATCTAAGATCTGTATTAAAAGAAGAGTTTTTTTTTAAAGCACGGATCATTAACAGTAAGTGTTATATTACACTTTTCCACCCCCGGGGGGGGATTCACCATTAGACAATAATAGGCAGTTGCCTAGGGCCCCAATTTCCTGGAGGCCTCATAAAACTATGTTTACATATATAGTTAACACAACTATTCCTTATTTGTGCACATTAATTATATTTTTGATTAAAATCCTTTGGCTAAAATGCCATCAGAACGCTGATAATATTAAGTGTGTCTCAGCCCCCCCCTTCAGTGTCCACCATATTGGATCAGTCCATTTGCTGCACATGTTCAGAAAGGTCCAAACAGACAGCAGCAAACCATTTGAAAACAAACCATGCAAAGAGCAGTGTTGCCAACCAGAGGTGGGGACTCCAGTTTGTGACTCGTACACGAGTCGCACTTAAGTCGCATATTTAATGACTTCAGACTCGACTTAGACTTGCATTTGAAGGACTTCAGACTCGACCAAGACTCGCGATTTCCGACTTGTGAACAATATTTTATTTTTTAAGTGTTTTTTGTTTTACTAACTTGACTGATCGCCGCTCGCCTTACCCGCACACAGCAGAGGGGCTGTCAAACTGTCACGTAGCGCTGACGTCACTGACGCAACGCTACGTGACATATTAGCATGTATTTTTTACTTACTAGTTCAAGATAACGATAATTCCATAGATATAATAGCGACCTTTAAGCTATACCATCTCAGTGAAGGAGATGAAAACACAAGGAGAAACAAGCAAGCACGCAAATTATTGAACTTATTTTTATTAATCATGTGATTAGAATTTATTGTGCGATTAATTTAATATTGCAACAGGCCTTCTGTACTCTAGAATTGAGACTTTACTTGGACTTGAGCTCTCAAGGCTTGAAATGTGACTTGGACTAGCAAAAAATGACTTGTGAACATGTCTGTTGCCAACTTAGCGCTTTAGTCGCTATATTTAGTGACTTTTCAGATCCCTCTAGAACTTTGATTTCAAAAAAGCGCCAAATCTAGCGACATTTATCTGCTACTGGAGACTTTGGAGACAACATCTAAAAGCAGCGAACTCTGCTCTCCAGAGCGAGTAGATTGGTAACCCCGCCTCCTGCTCTCCTCTATCTTGTCTGCTGTCATGATTCATGCAGCTATTATTTCATCCAAATGAAAAATGGAGAACAGATAAGCAGATCATGGCTTGTCTACAGTGAAAAGAAGGACTGGGTTATTTACTTTGGCCTTTTTGGAAACACAGGAAGGAGCAATCAGCTAAGTGAGCTTAGTGCTTGGAAAAAATCTTTCATTCCTTTAGAGACAGCATGAAAAGTCAGCTGAGTACAAAACATAGAGAGGAAAACAAGAAGAAAAGGGACAAGAAGAGAGGGACACAACTTAGAACAGATAATGGATGTCTATTCTATTAACATTTCTCTATCTGGGTTTGTTTGATGTGTTGTCTTCTCAATTCAGAGGGCCCCCTGCCTGTCTTTGCCTAGGGCCCCAAATTACCTAAATCCGCCCCTGCTCATTCCTTATGCAAGATCTGTTTTGCACAGCTAAAGAGTTCATGTCGATTTAGATCCATTTCTAAAAGCAAAGTGAGAAACAGTCATATTAGAGTGACGCGATAAAAACTGGACCGCCTGATGCCTCCGAACCCCCACAGATGGAGCTCTTAATGCAATTTCTGCAGCTTACAGTTTGTCCTGACCTCATCTGTCATGCCAGATCAGAAAAGAAAATAATGCCCCATTAAAAAAAGGGGGGGAAAAATGAACCATTTCACATAAACCGCTTGCCTTTTTTTTTTTCAGGCATGTGGACAATACCAAAACGCACTCACATGGTCTACCTTATGATCTAATTTTTCATGCTTAGATCTGTTTCGTACATTTTCTTTAACTTTACACATAGAAATCTTTGAAAAATCAGAAAGAAATCTTATGAAATATTGACAGTAACTTTAGGCAGTGCGTGGCTTTGCAGCAAACCTTTAAAAGTCGAGGTGATGCCGATAAAAACAGCCAGAAAGTTCAGCGTTTTAAGCTTTAAACAAGGGACAAAACTCCAAATGGACTCAAAGATCACAGAGCTTTGCTGCTCTTAGTCCCGAGGCCTTTTAAGGAGATGACGACTTTAACCAGATGTAATGGTCGGGGGAAGTTAATCTGTTGAGAGCCTGTGCAAACTAAATCAAAATAAATCTTACAGTCACCATTCCTCCTCACACATTAAAAGAGCCTCACCCCCCCTCCCCTTCTCTCCTCCCTCCCCCTCTGTGGAGCATCCAGCAAGGTGGACTTCACCTCCAAAGTAAGAGCCGTCGGTCAGCTTTGTGTCTGAGCTGCTTTTTGTAATGACGCTGACCACGCCGTGCTGGATGAAGTACATTTTCTTCCCGATGGTCCCCTCCCTGATGATGTAGTCGCCCGGCTGGAAGACCTCGAAACGCAGCTTGGTGAGCATGGAGGTGACAAAGTTGGGGTCGGCGTGGGCGAACAGAGGCATGGACGCCACCAGTTTGCGACAGTTGAAGTTGATGATCTCCTGAGGAAACAGTTGAAAAACGCTTGTTAATCTATTTATTTAATGCAGAGCTGATGCATTCAGAGCGCCTGTATCACATGCGTACATTTCAATCATTATAAAAGCAGCTTAGCGCTCCGTTAATAAGGTTCTCGGCTCTCATACGACCGTTACTAATCAGATTACAAGACTATTAACATTATCATGGAAAGTGTGGCAGGCATATTGGATTAAATCAATAATTATCTCAGTCTCATTTAGAGCGACATGCTTTAATTTATGCTGACGTGGTACAACTTATATAAATCAAATTCAGCTGGACTGCCATTAAACGTGGAACCAGCTGTGTTCAGATGAAAGCTGACCTCTCGCAGCGGCTCGTTCAGCTCCTCCAGGATGCTCTCCTCATCGAACATCTTCCCCTGATAACGGTGCTCGTAATAATCATGGATCCTCTGCCTCATATCAGCGGGGAGTTTGTGGAAGGACATGTACTGCTCCACTTGTTTATACTGGAACAAAACAACCACATTTTAACTAGTCAAAGCTGTTTATAACCAAGAATCAGACACACTGGAAAATAATCAACATCTAGATAAGGCATTTTTTCTTAAAATAAGTGCCTTTGTTCTTGGATTAAGGAGGTAAAAGAGACATTTTTCCAATGGAACAAGACAATTTACACATAAAATAAGAAAAAATAAGTGCATGTTATCTAATTGTCTTATTTTAAGAGTAAAAATACTCGTTCAATTAGCAAACTATCTCATTTACCTACTGAAATTAAGGGTAAATACACTTAATTTAAGAAATGTTTACATATTTCTAGATCATTTTTCCAGTGCAGGTTTTAAGCAAATGCTTCTCCTGCAAAGACGAAATGCAAAGTCATGTTAGAAGGAATATATTAACCTGATTAATGTGCCGGCTCAGAGGTGGACTATAATGTATCTCATTATGTTAACAGTCGACTGTCAGGCCATCTGTGAAACCTGCTCACAGCGAGCTGTTGTGGCTCTGCCCCATCTGACAATTACAGTTGTGCTCTGCAGCCTGCAGCTAATGACATTAACCAGCGTGTCCTTCAGCAGTGTTCTCCACCAGCGGAGCAGCGCCGACCATCACAGCAGCCAGTCGACGTATGGCGCTTCCTGCCATAAGCCTCTGCTCCTCTGATTTTAATCTGTGCCATATCTGTCTCTTTTTATCTGTCACATCAGCGGATGTGTACATCAGTCAATGAGCTCTTCCTCTGCTGGTTCTCTGGACGTTTTTGTCTTCTTTTCCACACCAGAAAAAAAAACCCTAACAGCTCTTGAGGCCCAATATGAATAGATTTGAGGCATGTGTGTGTGTTTTAATTCTATCAACTAATAACAATGCAGATTTTGACTCCTTTTTATATGGGTTGCCGTTTGTAATTTATGCAGTCAAAAAATTTAGGAGCAATATTTATGGTTATTTAGAGTGTTTTAAAAATAAGGGACTTATTTTTTTTCCAAGTAATTTTTTCAGTATGTCATTCATTCATTAATAATAATCTTACTTTGTTAAATAAATATTTAGTTTGGAGCTAAATATTTAGTTTGCAAATTAAATATTTAGTTGTATTTTTTATAGATATTTAGCTCCAAACTAAATATTTTCTTTGTTCAGCAAATAATTAGCTCCAAATTAAACATTTATTGAACAAAACTAAATATTTTGCTAGCACCAAGCTAGCAAGCTAGCTGAATACTTAGTTTGCTAAATAAATACTTAATTTGGAGATAACAAACTAAATATTTTGTTTGGAGCTAAATATTTATTTACATTTAATTTTCTAACTAAATGTTTAGCTCCAAATTAAATATTTATTTAACAAGCTAAATATTTAGCTAGCATCAAGCTAGCAAGCTAGCCAAATATTTAGTTTGCTAAATAAATATTTCATTTGGAGTTAATTATTTATTCAACACACTAACTATTTAGGTTGTTAGATAAATATTTAGTTTGGAGCTAAATATTTATTTAACAAACTAAAACTAAATATTCAGTTTGGAACTAGATATTTATTTAAAAAAAATTTAATGTATTTCATTTGCAAACTAAATATTTAGCTCAAAATTTAATATTTATTTAACAAACTAAATATTTAGCTAGCATCTAGCACCAGCCTAGCAAGCTGAATACTTAGTTTGCTGAATAAATATTTAATTTGAAGCTAAATATTTATTTAACAAACAAAATATTTAGTTTTCAGCTAAATATTGGAACTTCATTTTGTTATAAAACAAGCTAAACAACCGTAAATATTGCTCCTAATTTTTGACCGCTTAACTTTTAAAACAGCATCCCATATTTTTTAAATGGTCATATTTTATCTTAATATAATGAATGAAAACTGTTCCTATTAGTTCATTTTCCCTTATGTTTAAGCCTTGCAATCAAAATGAAGTGTATTTTATTGGGATTTTATTAAATATATCAACGTAAATATTTGCATTTTTCTGCCTTGGTGGGAAATGATACATGATTTTCAACCTTTTTTGCAAATAATTTTAGGAGAACTGCAAAAGTGCTTTTAAGTATATAAGTTTTAGGTACGTTTTATATCAGTCAGTCGATCAGGGGAAGGAAACTGTTATATTCTCCCTTGGAATTACTCCTTCAGGGAAATTCTGGTTCCAGTAGCTTATATAGAGTACAAAGAGTTAAAGCAAGATGCCATTAAAGATAAAAATACAACAAAAAATATAAAAAGATGATGAACAAAAAGATTTACAGAGAAACGTTTTTCCTGCGATTTAAATGTCACTAGAGAATGAATCAAAAAGCATTTGTTTTTATATTTATTTTGATTTTCATCCATTTTAAGGCTAGTGACATCTGTTTGGATATATAAATGGGGATGATATAATATCCTTTCATTGTTCTCTTTGATCAGTGCATTTCTCTTCAACTTATACAAGAAAAGAATCTCACCTTTTCTTGGTACTGTCTCCTTGAGGAGTCCAAGGACTGAATGAGAGCTGTGGCATGCCCCACAAACATGGCAAAGCAGGTAGCGCCCACGATCATGCTGAGGATGGTGAGCCAGACGTCTCCCATACCGATGGGTGGGTACAGGCCGTACCCAATGCAAAGCATGTGACTCATGGCTTTGAACAAGGCATAGGAATACTGCTGACCCCAGGTGTCGTTCTGGTGGAGACGTGGGGGCGGAAAGAAAAAGTTCATCAGTAAGAATGCGGCAGTGCTGCTGCAGCATCGCCTGTAGGAGCTTTGTTGAGAGTTTTAGAAACTGAGTGCAGGTGGTGGCCATTTTATCCTGCTAAATCATCACTGCATTCATTTAGTGTTCCTAATATCACCACAGCACCTACTTTAGCTTCTGTTTTACCAATCAATTCTCTGATTATCCTATCAGTTGGTCACACATAAACATGGCAAAGAGGACATACTATTTGCATGATGTCTTCCAAATATTCCAAAAAAGTAAAAAAAAAATAAAAATCCACTGGATTTTGTTTCTAAATTTGAAGACGTTTCTCTTCCCATCCAGGAAGCTTTTTCAATTGGAAATGTCAGAAATAGCGTTGAGTTCCAGGCTTGATACAGTACCCCAACAAAGCCTTGTTTTTGTTTAGAAAACATACAAATTGAACCAGAAGAACCGGTCCACCGCTTGGCTTCTTTTATTAGCCTGCAATACCCCATACCTGTCTGTCTCTGAAATGATCTGAAGGGATCCCTTCCCGCTATTATCGCAGCCCCAATCCCTTTACAGGGGAACAGAAAACCTCACCTGTTCAGCCAGGCCAACAATTCCCTTTAACAACCCCCCTTTCAGAGACATAGACAGGTATGGGGGATTGCAGGCTAACAAAGAAGCCAAACGACCCCCGTTCCAAAGGGGGGGACCCATTCTTCCGTTTCAGTTTGCATGTTTTCTAAACAAAAATAAGGCTTTGTTGGGCTACGGTATAAAGCCTTAAACTCAACGCTATTTCTGACGTTTTTAATTGGAAAAGTTCCTGTGAAGGACTATGACCTGGATGACTGAGAAACTTCACCAGCATTTTCCAAATATTATTATTAAGACCTAATAAAGCCTAAAAAAACCCAAAGAACTAAATATTTAGTCAGCTCTTAATGTTAAGTCTGCAGGTAAAAATACAACATATACTTTAATTTTAAGGCAACCTAAACTGCTCCTGATCCACTTACCACCATCTTATTCCGAGTGACCCAGCAGTCCGGAGGAAAGTCCTGCAGCATCGGCACCAGAAACTGGAGACATCCATCCCAGTGGCAGAGCAGCAGCATCATGCCAATCAGGTTCATGATACGTACCATAGCACTGGCCAGATCATACGTCATGTGAAACACCTGCAAAAGAGATTAATGGCAGCATAATGTGAAATGATAAAAGACATTCTTTAAAAAGCAATATTGAACAATTTTCCCAGCCATTTGGAGTGTTGAAATATTCAAGAAGTAACACACTAGTCCTAAAAGTTTTCAGAACAGCAAAGAATGTTTTAGTTTTTTAATCAGTTAGCATACTGAGGATCTATAGACTGTTTGTGTCAAAGAAGCAGTCTAAAAAGTACAGATGCACTAACTTGTGTTTAAGTTTTCTTTTGAGTTTTCAGCTTCACTTTGATCCATGTTTTTCTTTGTTTTCTAGTTTTATAGGTTTAATTCCTATTTTGTGGTGTTTTCTGGATGTATTTGAGTTCTTAGGTATTTCTTGTTTTCCCTCTGCTGCCCTCTTGTGTTGGTCTCCTTTTCCCTAGCTCCCTTCTAGAATCCTCTGTTCACACCTGCTCCCAATCAGCTTATCGGTCCTGACTCCTGTCTTTGTTGTGTCCCCTATATATGCTCTCCCTGTGCAGTTACTCAGTGCTGTTTCCTCGTCTTTTCCTGGCTCCCCACTTGAGTTTTCCCCTGAATTTTTGCCTCAGTTATTTCATTAAATCTTCAAGAACTCACCTCTGCCTCCTCATCTCTGCATTTGGGTCCTCAAAACCTCAAACCAAACCTGACACCCCGACTGACGACTCCCCGGAAGTAAAAGCCCCACATTAAGAGCTGCTAGATCATGTTGACAACAACCCTCTGTCATTAAAGCAAAAATCCGGTCACATTCAGAATACAAACTTCTGAAAGTACTCTAATTGTGAAATTATTCCATACTTTTCACTAAATCATAAGTGTTTTTAATTCAGAGTAATTTTCATGTGAATGTGTTTTACTGGAGGCATCCATGTTTGTCAAAGAACACTACTGCCACCTACTGGTTAATGACGTCACGGTGCGGTATCGGCTGTTGATCAAGTCCCAGTGCTGTATCTGGTGTTTGTCACAACGCGCTATTATCCAAGTCATCTTGAAAACATTCTTCTTCCAAATGTTGGCTACATATTACGGGTTTTTTCTCTGGCCAGAAGTTCGATGGCAAATCCTCCCTCTTCAAGTTGGCGATCCAACGACCAACCCGTCCGTGGAGGATCAGGAATCAGAAAGGTGAAATAACTCTTTTTTTTCACTTTTACCCGATGTATTCCAGCATCCAGCTGCCATGCACGTGGGCATTGTCAGTTTCACTATAGCTCTGGTGAATTTCAATGGTGAAGTCCTCTGGAAATCTTCAATAATTGTTGTTGATTGCAGATGTGTCTAGTAGTTCCCATTGATTTAGCTTGGAAAGCGGGGAGAATGGCGCTAGGCTTACCGCACCGTGACGTAACTGCTGGAAGATGGCAGGAGGGAGGGGTTACTATATTTGGGCAAAAATGGCCGCTCCCAGACTCAAGATTCAAGAGACTTTATTGTCATTCACATCACGTGTTACATGAGGTAGAACGAAATTGAGAGTGACGGCCCCAGTTACATCCGAATATAAAAAAAATAAATTATAAAAACTAGCTACAAGATCAAATTATATAAATAGAAAAAAATATTTACAGATATATAAAAACAAGAAGTAGAGAATAAAATGTATATTAATAGGAATATACAGGATGGATGAAGTATGACTAATGTAGCAGCGTGATGGTGACGGAAATTATTACTTTTTTTACCGATTAACGCTAGATTCATTAAATCACTGCGAACGTATTAGTTTTAGGTAAAAATAATGATCCATTAATTATTCCTTGCTGACCAGACTTTTCCTTTAAAGTGTGACAAACAGTTTGTCGTGTCGATGAACAGATTAGAAATGATGTCAGAAGGAGACCTATTCAAAGAAAAATTGGTACAGAGGTTTCTTAAACATCTGTCCCAAGTAGCAAGTTTTTTTTTTCTTAGAAACAAACCACTTTTCTGTTTATTTGGAGTTTGAGTTAAGACCTAAAACTATGCTGACACTAGTACTGTAGGTGCAGGGTAGAATAGTCAGTGCAGCAACAGAGGCTCAGGATTCTCTGTCCGATTTATTGATTTAAGCAGTTAGCTTACAGTTAAAGCATTAGTTTTGTGGTTGAATTTATTTTTTAAACCTTAATTTTTCTCACAGTAGTGAGAAAGAAAAAGTTGATTGTGTGCATTATATATCAAAGAGAGAAATTATCTAAAAATATGACGATGGTTTGCATGTTAGAAGTGGGTAGCACTGCTGCCTTGCAGCAAGAAGGTTCCGGGTTCGATTCCCGGCCCTGGGTCTTTTTGCATGGAGTTTGCATGTTCTCCCTATGCATGCATAGGCTCTCTCCGGGTACTCTGGCTCCCTCCCACAGTCCACAAACATGAGTTTTAGGTTAATTGGCTTCTCTAAATCATTATGAGTGTGTGAATGGTAGTTCGTCTCAGTGTTGCCCTGCGATGGACTGGCGACCTGTCCAGGGCGGATCCCGTCTCACGCCCGTAGAGAGCTGGAGATAGACACCAGGCCCCCTCGCAGCCCCGCTTGGGATAAGGCTGACGGAAAATGGATGGATGGTTTGCATGTCGACTTGGCGATGCAGTGAAAGTGTATAACATTAGAACAAGATGGACCACAAAGGCACAACAAAAGTCAGCTATGACGATGTCCAAACAGGGACAATCTATCCATAAAAATGCAGGAATTGCTCATGCCGTTGCAGATTGCACTACATATCATGACAGAGGTTTCATTCTATAAGAAGTCTGTTTTGGTCAATTTGGTGGAGCAGATGCAATGGACATTTAGGAACAGTCAAAACTTGTTTGAAAAAAAAAAAAAAAGAGAAATATATAAACCAAAAGATACAACGCCAAGCTATTCTTCAACAAGACAGAATTTATGTGGAAGAAAACAAAGTGGAGGGTTTAGACGACAGTGGAAATAAGGATGGCAGGACAAAAACAAATAGACTAATCCTCACACTGTGCATCAGTGTGAGTGGGTGCTGCCAGAAGAAGCTACCGTTCAACCATCATTCAGAAAACCCCACAGCCTTTAAGTCACATAAAACCTGAGGGTCAACTGGCTGTTTTTGTTTTTTTTTTGTTTTGTGGCGGGGTTACATTTTATCCTTGATTAGGATTTAAAAAAATATCTCTAGGAAAATAACATACCCTGATAAACCTTTTCCATCCTGGACTATTCAGCTGCTCAACCTTCCAACATTGAAGATGATATCTTAAAAGCATTAAAGTTTATTAAAGGCACACTATGCAACATTTTTCAGTTAATTAATGTGTTCCATAACGTTTTGGATGATTAAATGAGTCATTTCAGGTTGAACAAAGGTATTCTCGGCCGCCCTGGTGGTCTGTGGGGGAAATACCGCACTTGCAATTGCAGGAGCACCGACCCGCACCCACAGGCTCAGAAGTCTCGTGAGAGTCAGTCTTGCTTTACGGCCGAGAACTGCTACACCCCCCAGTTAAAAGCATTCTCGTTGCTAGCACAGTGACGATCCTTGTGCAGTTATGCTACGTTCACGCAGCAAAAGCAGCAAAATCGTGTCTGCTGCTTCATTTTTGCTGCTTGAACCAGTTAGTTCTGACGCTCTGGCTGTGCGGTGCAAAAGTGTGTCTGACGCGCGTTGGGCGGAGCTTCACTATCCTTTCTCTGCCTTGCAGCTATATTTGCTGTGATCATTTGGAATAAAGTAGTTTTAATATGTGTTTAAATGAGAAAATACACCTGAAAACGTAATCAGTGCCGTCAGTTCATTCAGATTATTATCCTGCCTTCAATATTTTTTCTGTCGGAGCCGCTCAGACCCCCACATACCAGCGGTGCGCCGACAGAAGGAACCCCTTCATCAGCAGCCTCTGGCCAGGTCACGTCCTCGCGGTTCACCGCGGCGGCTGGTAGGTGTTTTTCATCTAAATAATCCAAACTGCATATTCTGCCGGCAGATTTCTGCATTTTAAGTTAATTTAGGCGTCAATAAACTGTTTAAGAGGAGAGAGATCATAGCCTCTGATCATCAGCGCTGTGTCTCTCTCCCTGCTTCAGCTGCTCAGACGCGCTGGGCCTGCTGCTCCTTTGCTGCGCCTTGACGCGCGTCAACCATTGACTTTGCATGTAAACTCGCTGCTTCTGTCGCGCCAGCTGCGGTGTGAACGCAGCATTAGTCATTCGTTGCGTTCGCCTGTCTGCTAAGCTCAAAACAACCGCGCCTGGCTTGACGGAGAAACCAGGAGAACAGCTGTGCATATTTACGACAGTGCACTTTTACTTTCGCCCTCTGGGGGGAGTCTCGCTGGAAAATCAACACCGGTTGCATAGTGTACCTTTAAGGTTCTCTACTTTCCACCCAAGACCATCCCCACCCTGCAGCTCATGGACAAGCAGGTATTCAGCAACTCCTTCCAGATACAGTTTCTTACCGGAATAAAATCTCTGTGATGAAAAATTTCTGTTATGTTAAATTCTCTACTTTTTATACTATAGTATTCTTTGCTTCAGTAATTCAGCCAATGCATATTGTTAATAGAAAAACGTTTTTTAATGCTGTTCTAATGTTAAAGTTTAAGAGAAATCTGCCAATTTCAGTATGGTAATATAAAAACTTTCACAAAAAACATAAATTAACGGCCAACTTCTGACATTAACAAAAGTATTGTTATTATGCAAGATCCAAAAAGTAAAAGAGAAATCCCACTATGTACAAGTTTAACAGAAAAAGAACACTGTTAACAACTAAGATTATAACATGGCAACCCTAAAATACAGACAGAAACTTTCCCAACAAAGTGGACAAAAATATCCACTTATAAATTGTTTAAAGGCTTTAAATTATCTAGACTCCTTGTAACAGTTTAACAGACTATTATGAGTTCTTAAAACAAGGGTAATTAATAAAAAAGATTCAACAATCTACCTCTTCCCACTGGTGGATGTAGCGAATGAGTCTGGAGAGGCGCAGCAGCCGCAGCAGACTGAGGATCTTGGTGAACCGGACGATCCTAAGGGCCCGGGCCGTCTTGTAGAAGTCTGAGTCGATGCGAGTTTCCACAATGAGAAAGATGTAGTCCACGGGTATAGAGGAGACAAAGTCCACCACAAACCAACTCTTCAGGTACTTGATCTTGATCTGCTGTGGATCCAGGATTATCTCTGTGTTGTCCTCCTTGACGATGCCAGTGCGAAAGTTGAGGACCAGGTCTATGAGAAAGAAGGTGTCCGACACAACATTGAAGACAATCCAGGGTGGTGTGTGCTCATCCTTGAAAAAGGTGATGCCCACAGGGATGATGATGAGGTTTCCCACCATCAGCAGCAGCATGGTCAGGTCCCAGTAAAACCTGAAACACAAAAGTTAATAAGACATTTCCTCAACGGAAAAGATTGAAAGCTTTACACCAAGTGTTCAGTTCTGACTCTTAAAGGAGGCGGTTGCATTTTTCTGCTGCTCTGCAACTTCCTGATCTGTCCCTGCTTTGCTGTGTCTTGTCTTTATTGAGTTCTCTCTTCATATCACCTGAATTCAAACATTGGATCTGGTCAGCTGGTCTCTCAATGCAATTGATCAAATGTTCTCAACTGGAAGACAGGGAAAAGGGGCCCTTCCTGTAACCTGACTCCGCCAGATGGATTTGCTCCGCATATCCATCTGGAAACCTTCCGTTGAAGTAATTTTGGGAAGGGGCGAAAATACTGGTTAGCTGATTGGCCTATGTTGGTGATAGACGGGCCAAATAAACCAATCAGATCAACGGAGCATATGACGTACTAACAGAGCGACGACGAAAACACAACCACAAGCCAGGCTACTCTTGCCGAAACCAGTCGGGAGAAGAGCAAAAACATCTTTTCCTCTGAGAAAAGCCTCCAGAGCAGTGTTTTGCTCTTCTTTCAGTGAAGAAATACTCTGTAATTCCGATAAAACTTGCTCGATAGCCACGCTAACGCTAGTTTCATCGGCTGAAGCCGCCATGTTCTTTAGACTGAACTGTCGCGCTTCTCGTTGCGTCACACCTCAACCCGCCTCAAAGCCAACGCTGATTGGACGTTCGTTTGGTGAACGGCTCCAAATTTTCTTTAACGGAGAGTCTCCAGACTGATCTGCGAGTGAAACCTTGAAAGCTCGCGAGATCAGGATGGTCTCACGAGGCTACCCTTCCTGTCCTACCGGGACATACTTCGTGGGAAACACCATGGACTCCTGGAAGGCTTGGAGGATGGTGTGTTTTACAATGTTGTCAGTGGAGGATATTGAAGATGTATGGATTTTCGGATTTATGATACTTGGATTTCTTTGGATTTGGAGAATACCTGATGTATCTGCGATCACAGAGGATGTTGGGGGCAATTTGGGCATTGATCAGGCTGCCGGCAGCGGTTGACGAGCTCACAAAGGCTGTAAACGAGCAGGACCGTGAAATGAGCCCTATGCAGGCTGGCTGTAGTGGTTGAACTTAAAGGTGAGATAGGATAATATCTTCCATGTGCAGGCTTGCTTCAAGGCAGAAAAGCCCAACAAATTTGAATTGTTGTATTCCCCATGTAGAGCCAGCAAGAAAAGCCTCAAAGCTGATGGAAAATTCCTGTGCAGCATGCTCTAAGTGTTATTTTGGATTCAGCCTCCCCCTTATCTTACCTCCCCTGGATGTTATGGCGGAAGGGCCCAAGGGAACGTATGATTTAGTATGATTGGATTGAATATACTCTGTAAAGTGCCCTAAGATGACATATGTTGTGACTTGGCGCTCTATAAATAAACTGATTTGAACTGAATAAACCCCTATTTAAATAGATTCAGTCAGTTATTGTAACGGCAAGAGGGCAAAATAAGAAAAAATAAAAATTTCTTTTTTTTCTTTCCTTTTCTTCTTCTGTTTTTCTGCTCTATTTACATTGCAGTTTCCATATAAACTGTAAAACTCCCTGCATAATTATAATAAAGCAATTTATATGCATGAAACAAGTGGACCATTAAGGCAATTGCCATACTGCTACACTTGTGAAAGTAAAATCTGTTGGGCTCTTTTTGTCAGCAGGACAATTATTCGTATTGCCACATTGCCAGACAGGACACTGTTTAAAGAAAAGAAAAAAAAAAAAAAGAAGCAATGAAGCATCAAAATATATGAATTAGTGAAGCTGTTTTTAGGATTCTACACTAATGAAAAAGTTAATGGCGCAAAAAGAAGAGGACAGTCATTATGTAACCATGATAAAATTCTGGTTAAAAATACAAATATGATAGACAGACCTAAATTAAACAAAGAGAAACAAAGAATGAGAATCCATAGAGGATACTACAGAAAGCTAAAAACAAGAAAACATAATTTAAATATTAACTGCTGAGTATAGTAATGACAACAAAACCTGAAAACTTTAAATCTATGTCCGACAAATTCTAATTAACTAAAAAAAATAGTTATTTTAAAAGGTAGACAAGTCATTTTAGAATGTTTAAGAGGAAAAACCCAAACATCAGTTCACAAATTTAAACTCGATCAAATTAAGATATCTATTTATTTAGCTTGCCAAACACTATTTAAGCAGCTGTTGGAGGGAAAAAAAATGCTTTTTAAAAAAATAAGGACACTAATAATGTGGAATCTAAAGGAACTATTGGCATGTCTGTTAAGCAGCTGGATGTAGGCTGGCTATCAGAGCAGCTAATCAGTTAGCCTGTATCTGCTTATAACATTTTATAATAACTGAACTTTATTGATCTCACATTGGAGAAATTTCCCCCCTGTATTTAACCCATTCCCTTGGGGAGCAGTGGGCTGCCATCATGCGGCGCCGGGGAGCACTGAGGGGTTAAGGGTCTTTGCTCAGAGAGCCAGAGTGGCAGTCTGTGGGAGTGGGACTCAAACTCAGAACCTCAAGATTCCAAGCTCTATGCCCTGACCACTAGGCCGCCACTATCCTCGTCTTTCCCTTTAAGGAGTAGAGAAATTAGATTTATTTCTCTAGAATAAGGTCTTGAAAACTATCATTAGATTAAATAGGTATTTATCATAGATTTATGCTTAACTCAAAGTACCAAAATCAAAACATGATATTGTTGTAATAAAAAAAGTCATTATAACTACTAAACTATCATTATTATTTTAGTACAAGTATAAACAACTGTTACCTTTCTGTTTTGAATAGGAGGAAATATTACTAATATAAAGAATATGATAGATCAGAGGTCTTCAACGTTTTCTAAGGACCCCAAACTGATGGCGAGATGGAGCGGGGACCCCCTAATTTTATATATTGTATGAAATAGTGTTCTATCAAACTGGTCCAATAGTCACTCTATTACAGATGGAGTAATGTAACTAAAGTAATCCCTCCCTGGGATTATTAAAGTATTTCTGATTCCTGGTTGATGGGACAGGTGTTGTGAATGAAACGGTGCCCAGCTTGAAAGAGCTCCTGTGTGTCTCTGAATGTTTGCATTGATGACTGAAAGACATCTTCTGCCTCCATTTATCTGTTTACTACAGCGTGTTTAATTCATGTTAATGTGGATTTAAAGACATTTCAATTAGTGGAAAAAAATGCAGGAGGGAATATAAAAAAAAAAGGTTTAGGTTACAGCTATCCTATACCTGTTTGACCTCTTTTCTCTGGTTCATTTGTCATTTATGTTGAAGATTATGTAAAAATATAAGTTATGTTTTTTAGATATTTTATGCAACAAATCTTGATATTCTTTCTCTGACTTTTTGAAGAACTAAACAAATCTAGAGTCTATGTTTCTGTTACTATTAAACTTATTGGAACAACAATAACAAAACATTTTTTATATAATCTTCTAATTTCCACTCTTTTGTCAGATATTTGACTTATTTTTACTCAGAAATGCAGATCTGTATTGATGGCTGAAAGACCTCTGTCTCCATTTATCTGTTTACTATAGTGTGTTGAATTCATGTTAATTTGGATTTAAAAACATTTCAATTAGTGGAAAATATTGCAGGGGGGGAATATAAGTCTAATTAACCAAAACTTTGCGACCCCCATGCAGTACCTCTGCGGACCCCCTGTTGAAGACCTCTGTGTTAGACAAAATTAGACTTGGACAACTTTTATTGTCAATTTGAATACACAGAGTGTATATGAAACAGAATTTTATTTAGTACAGCTGTAGCAACTATCAAATTGCCTCTAATTGTGGTCACTTCTGGGTGCGGGAAATCCAGGTCCTAACAAGCTTAAAGGGGAAAGTCCAGCCTGGGAGACACTTCCATTTATTAAGCACACACACAGAATGCCATCCAGATTCCTGGCTGGCCGTCTATGGCAGCATGCAAAGAAAATGTTAGTACTGATCATTAGGTGGATATAATTAAAACAAACCAGTATATGAATAGAAAGAATTTAAAAAAACGTGTGACCTCCCCACACCCTTCACTCACTGTCCTTACGGTGACACAAATAGATTTCACCCACAGCAATGCCCGAAACCAGAACTACAAATGGCTCCTATAACAGCTTTTCAGACAGTAAATGAACATTTCCATTCCATAAAGTGCAGCAGTGATCAAATGTAAACAATGTGGGGGAAAAAACATGGTGCCAAAAAAAAAAGTCCCAGAAAATTACATTGATAATCCTCCTCTGGAGGGCCGCTAGATGAACAGCTAATGTTTTTTCTTTTGTTTTTCGATACTTTTTTTAATGCACAAGTAAAACAGTGTAAAGAATAGTCAAGATTTATTTGCTAATATTAGTATTTGTTATGCTGGGGATTAAAATATATAAAGAAGATATAAATGCAAGAAGAAATTTCCCTGAAAACCACAAACCAAACCATGCAAGATGCTTTATAATTAAGGAAAACATTCTATATACAGCATTTTGCAGTAAGAATAACTTAGAAAATAATGCTTTTCCAATCTTTTTAAAGGTCTTCTGTGTGTTAGAGACTACATGAGTCCCTTGACTGACTTCTCTTTTTCTTTTTGCAAATTCTGGAGATTTTCAATTAAAATTTTCCATTTTTTTTCAGTAATCAAAATATGCGCATCGTTTTTAGGAAAACTTATTTTTTATGTTTTGAATTTGGTGCTTTTAAAGTCGGCATGAGGAACAACAGAAGTAGGGTTTGAATTAGTCCAGTACCTTTATTATTGTTTCTAAAATGATTCCAGGCTTGTTATAACTCAAAAAAACAAATTAACTTCTTTGAAGCCAGAAGGCTCCTTCTGAAAGTGAAAACCAACAGAATATTGTCCAAATAAGCTGAGATAATAAAAACAAATATACCAACTCAAAGCTGATGTTCTTACAAGGGGATTAAAAATGGCAGCTACTTTTTCATCTTAAAAATAAGAGTTATTAATGAGCTATAATT